ACGGGTCTTCAATAGGAAGCTTATATTAAACGCCACACGACTAGTCTATGATTTTAAGCATTTCTATTCCTCAAACGGTAGGTATTTTTCTTTAGTGAGCAGTGCAAACAGTTACAAGAATGATAAACCCACAAATCTTAACTAAATCCACGCCGTTGAGACAAAATCTTTTTTTTTTTAAATCCGCGATTCAACCCATGCGGTAGTTTGAGGATGAATATAGACCAGCATTCCATGCAAGAGTCCACGGGCGTACAAAACTGGACGTGGGACAGACGAAGTTTAATAGCTTGGCGAATGCAGCAAGTGGTAGGCAGGCGGCATTTAACGTTGAAAATACGGTTACTCATCTCCAGGTTAGGTTGTAGGTCGTGCAGTTCCAACGCTATAGTCCAAGGGGGGATCGGCTAGATGAATTCCTCTACAGAGCGAGAATAAGGTACGGGAGGTTGCGTATTCCCAAATAGGTTTGGAAACATGAGGGCTAGATCATGGCACGGTCGACATTATTCAGGTTGCGCTCCCATATCCAATGTTGAACACAGGTGCGGAAGGGAGAGATCGGGCGTTAGTGGCACGCGTAGGTGCAGACTCACGCCACATCAGCCACCTGTGGCCTTTAGGCACTCATATTCCGACGGTCGAACTGTCATATAGGCTAGCAGAAGAACTGATAAAGTCCTTCATAATCAGTATAAACTCCTTAATAATTACGACAGAGTACCAAGCTTGTGTCTAACACGTATTCGACGTGTTACTACGTAGAATTAAAACCAGGAATATTTAATACCCCTATAAAGCCATGGATAAAACTTGATAAATGTATTTTTTACAAGGGCTTAAAGGCGACGTAATTATCATCATCACGTCATGTCCCCTTCCGTGGATGTTTTTAAAGCAAAACTTGATAAGTACCGATTTAATGAGTAACGTCGAGATGGAATGCTCCCAATCCAAACACTGAAATGCTATAAATATATACTAATAGTAATTTTTAAGAAGTATTATTATTATTAGTAGTATTTAACAAAATGAGTTTTAAGCAATTACCTAGCTACCGACGTCTCTGCTCACTATGCGA